GTGTGTGTGTGTGTGTGTGTGTGTGTGTGTGTGTGTGTGTGTGTGTGTACGTTGCAACCACCCGGTCCACGTACGTACGCGATTCTACGTGACCGCGTCGGCGGTGCCGACTAGCATAACATTATGGCGGTTGTAACTCATCGCGAGCCGCCGCGTTTGCGGAAAAATGGTAGCGGCGGTTGGAAAAATACGCCACGTGCATTTCCGAGCGGGCTCAATCGCTTGGAAAACTTCTATTTTACCGCGCTTCCGATTTATCGCGGGCACGTCGCGAGCCTTAGCGTGCTTTCCACTACGCGACGATGTTACGAGTGTATATTACTATCGCGTGATTTTATTTTATCCGAAGAACATAAATTGATTTTCGTAAAATTAAATATATAATATTTATTGAGAGAAAAATCAAAAATTATTTCTCCCAGAAATGTGCTAGCTGTAAACATAAGTATTTGCTTTTTTTTTGTATTTGATAATATCATATAAAGTGATATATTTATATATAATATGATTTGAGATTATTAAAGCGATCCGTTCGAGGCGATTAAGTGATTCAGATGTTTCATCAATGCGCATTAAAAGGCAGACACAAATGGAAAATTATAATATTTTGTTCAACGGTAACAGAATATTGAATAACATTGTCATGACGTACTTAACGCAACATAATAATTTTAATTAAAGCAATTGTTTGTTATAACATTGTACGAGATATTGCAACATGGGGAACGTCAATATACGAGCGCATGCCACCGGCCATTCCAATTACACAGTGAACGCACGCACACCATAAGGAAGTCTGATCAAAGGGCGAGAATGTTTGTTAATGATTACCCTGAATTTCCTCCGTAAATGCTATAGAAGCCGGAAATGCGAGTAGTAAGCCACTTACGATGCCGTTACATGCAACATAACGCTGAGCACTTCCGTTACAATGTACGCAATTCAAAATTTCAAAAATTGTTCCGTCAAGTTTTTGTTATTAATAAATAATTAATTATAAAGTAAGTTAAATTTTTATGTAAAAAAAGAAAGCAAAAAAATAAATTAAAGAACGATTTTTAAAAATATAATGATAAAATACTGTCTTTTCTTATATCAAAATTTAAATTTATCCATTAGTTTATGATTGTGTACAATATACACAATAAGTAGAATACACAAATATCGTTAACAACAATTATAAAGACAAGTAGGTAATGTAATGTGAAATAAAATATTAAAAGTATAGAGAAAGAGAAAAGTTAATTGAACAATCTTAAATTTTTCAAAATCCTTCGTTATCTAAATAATTTAATACATATTATGGAATATAATATAAAATATAATGTTAAAACAATAAAGAAAAGAATGATTATTTAAACAATTTTAAATAAATTTTTCTTAAAGCTCTTTTCATTATATAAATTATTTAATACAATTGGTAATGTAATATAAAGTTAAATATTAAAGCTATAGAGAAATAAGGAATTAGATAATCTATATATTATAATTAAGCAATCTGAAATAAAACTTCTTAAAGTTCTTCGGTATATAGATTATTTGAATCTTTTAAAAGATAATAATAGAATGCAGTATTGATTCCATATTTTCAAAACCGGAATTCGATCTTCATTAAGGATGTATTTGTCATATCTCAAAACAATAATATCATCAAAAATATAAATAGTTAAAGTTATACATTATTTTATTATTATTTCAGAGTATTTGTGAAAAATTCAAGCACAGTTGTCTCATTGGTTTAAGAATCATCTAACTTTTTTTTGGTTATCTTGATTTTTATATAAAATCGCGTTTTGTAATACTTAATTGCAAATTTGATAAAGAAATAATACTAAGATTAAATCAAATTTTAAACATATACTAAGATAACAATAATAAATGTTTGTGCAAAAATTTATTTGGATTCACTTACAAGGTTAAAAATTATTAACCTAATACTACAGTAAAATATGTCATTCTGCTACACAATAATGTTAAAAAACCAAACAATTTCTTGTTTTGTTTTTAGTTTCAGATCGTATTTACAGGTTAATATCATCAAAAATTTTTTAATGATATTGACTGAAATTAGCTATTTTTGGCTATTATTTGATTGATACTTTTTGAAATTAATATTGTGTAAACAGAACATCCTTAAATTTTATTCTTAAACATTTCACGTGTATATAAGTTATGAAAAAATTAGGAAAGTAAAATTTAGATCTTTTTCTTAATAAATAAAGATGTACGGTAAAAGGATAAATAAGTTTACTCCTCCGTTCATTTCCCATCATAGCTTCGTTCTAACCAACCGTGCGACGGATTTAATAGAGTCAGCCGCTGTTTTTATTTAAACATGGCTGGCATCGGTGCATTTAGCAGGCATGTTGACACGAAAAGGAAAGCGTGACTCGTTTCGGTAATCGTATTACATAAATGCGCATGCACACGCGGATGACGAAGGCACGAAGGATGCGTACGTAAGAAGCCGGCTCGAGTGCTCGATAAATCGCGTTCAAACGCCGGTGATATTTGCGTCCCGTTTACCTCCAGGAGTTTACCCAGAAATCGTTGGCGCGAACGAAGCGCAATTTCTGCAGACGAGGCTCGTAATAAGGGTGTAAACGATGAACCGACGACTAGCGTTGCGTCGACCACCTTAGCGATTCCACGAATGTGCGTGCGTCATGACTGTCGCGGCGGTAAAAAGTCTACGAAAAGATTTTGCTTGCTTTACATTTCGAGAAAGTCGCTTTTTAAAACGCATCTCTAGAAGTACAATCTCTACGTAATAGAAAAATAGGGAAGAAAACGTTATAAAGTACGTAAAAATCTCTTCACGAACTGAAAGTTTTAGGGAAGTAAATAGATAACAGTATTCTGTGTAATCGATTTCAAATAAATCTTATTTTAATTTAATTTGTAAAGCTTACGTTGCACAAATATCTGACATTGGAGGAAAATAATTTTAGTAACAAATTTCTTCCTCTCTCTCTCTCTCTCTCTCTCTCTCTCTCTTTCTTTCAAAATTAAATTCTCTCTTTTACAAAATTATTTTACAATTACAACATTTTTTTATCTTAAAGAAAACTTTCTTACATATTTTTCTTAAAATAAATTTTAAAATTACTTTAAACAATAGTTTAAACTGTCCAAATTCACGTTATAAAAATGTTATAATTCGAGTATTTATGTAAATTAAACATAAATCAAGCGAATCATTTCTTGTTCTTGAAACGTTACAAAAACATTTCTGAAATTAAAGTTGTAACATCCCTAACATCGAAGGCAAATTTTACAAATGTCGCAGAAACGTTGTAAATGTGACGTCGCATATGTAAGATAATTGACTTAGGGCATTTTTGGGTCCTAAGACATTACCAAAACATTTATACGACAAAAGGCAAATCGTCGTACGATTATAACGTAACGTTACATAAAAACGTTACACAATTTTGTTTAGCGGGTAGACAATGAGATTTGTACTCAATGTCATATTTTAAACACTATTCAACACCAACCAAAAATTAAATTCCAGATTTTTCTTTAATTTACAGATTAAAGAGAGATGTATTATACATAAAAATTAATGTAGCAACTTACAATACTAATAAAACTGATAATGTATTAACATTATAATTATTTAAAAATATCGCTAATAGCTAATAATGAATCCCTTAACACAACATTAAATCCCCTTTTCACAATTTATCTCCATTTGACAATATTAAATATTAAATCTCATAGAACCGTACATGTGAGAACACAATCAATAAAAAATAAATGTCTTTAACGGTATAAATTACATTTTATCTACTAGAATAGCTACAACTTACAACTTATTTACTAGATTGATATATGTATTCGATTGTTACGTCACGTTTGTTATGCAACTTATCAAGATACATGGATACTCTAGTATTATGTATAATTGGTTTCAAATTGTCTCTATTTTTCTGTAAGCTAGGATAACATCTCTGATAATAAAAAATTGCACACAAAAAATTCCAAGGACTGAATTCAGGCCACAATACTTTAGTAAAGTAGATACAAGTATTGGAAATCTAAAAGAAATTTAGATAAAATTTTGAAATGCATGGTTCTCTCTCTGTTTTGATTACAAGGAGATGGATTTAAATCATAAAAATTAAATAAGCTTTCTTACTTGCCACGTGAGGAAATCGCTAAGTCGAGTTTCTCCGGAAGTACGAATTAATAAATCTGGATATGGAGACTTGTAAGTGTACAAACAATCAGTAATCAAGTCTTCGTTAATATCTTCAGGTAAAATATCAGCATCCTTTACACCTTGTATTATATCCTTAATTGCATGAGTAATTTCATCCCTTGCTATAGCGATATTAAAAAATATAAAAATTGTATATGCATGTGTGTATGTGTGTATGCATATTTTTAAATTATATAAAATATTAACATTTATTTATATATACGTCACGAAACTTGTCCAGAGAGTACACTGACATATCTATGATCTTTTTAAATCGGTTTAGAGACTGTGTTCTGGAAGCATACTGTTAGCATTATTGCATCTTTCTATTTTAATTGCTTATGAGACATAAAACAGGATGATGCAATAGCGCTGATAGCCCACTTTCTAAACGCAGGCTTAATGTAATATATAAAATCAAGTGTAAACATAAATATAGAGTATTGTAATTATACTTACATGTATAAGCAACAGCAAAATTAATAAACATTCTATTATTTTCCCTAGTAATAATTATAACTTCAGCTATTAATTTACATATATCTTCTGGTATCAGGGATAAATTACCAATTACACGAAAGCATATTTCATTGTCTTTCAATTTTTTCCTGGAAATTGTTTATATAAATTTGTAATAACAAAATCTATATTGTGCTGCGATGTAATACCTGATTTAAAAAATTCTAAATATCACACGTACTTGTCTTTTAACAAAACCTTGAAGTTCTGCCTGGCGAGGTGCATAAGATTATCAACTTCTTCTTTGCTACGTTTAAAGTTTTCTATACTAAATGCATAAAGTGTGACTTCTACAATACCGAGATACATGCACCAATTTAACATCTCAATCATTTTATCGAACCTGTCGTAAATAAAATATAAGGTATGAGACAAATGGACAACCAGCCAGTGTGTCTGCAAATTCTCTTTAAGAATACATACCCTTTTGAGTGTCCCTCTGCTATCGTCAAGTTCTGTTTCTTCGCATAACGTCTGCTACCATCCATGATAAATGCCACGTGTTTAGGTATTTCGCCAGTCTTAATGACTTTTAAAACTAGGAATTGAAACCAGTTCAAAATGCGTTCCATTAGCCACGACATCATATTTTAAATTTCACATTCGGACATACAAAAATGTACAGTTTGCGATCGACTGACTCTCTTCAATGTTTCAAAAGTTTCTGTTACATTCACTATCTAATACTTATCGACAAACACAGTATATAAAGTATTCATTAACATGGTAAAGACGGTATCATCCCGGTAAAAAATTGTTTATGCATAAATATATATAAATATGTATAAACACACATAAATATTCATAAATGTATATATTTACATCTCTTATTTATATTCTTATAAGAATATTCTTACAAAGATTTATTTTTTTAAAAAAGGTAAAAAAAGGCGCTAAGCATACGTGATTCTCGAATAAATTTATTTTTTTTACTTAAACTTAATAGCATTCACAATGTTCATAATTTATACTCTATGACTCAACCGTACATATACACACACTAGATACAATACTTTAATTCTTATTGGAAATGCTTGTTATTTTTCTTATTTTTTTATATATTTATATTTTTTAATATGATTCTAATTTTGTTATTAATATGTTCTTATTTATGTTATTTTTCTAAGTATTACATTCTTATTTTTCTTATTTTACTATTATGTTATTATATCGACATCTAGCAGCGCTAAGTGTTTTTACATGAAAAATTTTTCTATTTAAGTTAAATTTTGTATTTTATACGGTTAATTCTTTAATTTTTTATGGTAATACTTAAATTAAGCAAGGTAACGCAATTTTGTGATAATGTTTTGTATAATATTTTGAAGGAGAATTAAATAATCACTACTTTAGTTGGAAGAGAAAATATCTTCAAATAAATTGTGATATAATAATTTCATTTAAGAGGAATTTAAACCATTAGGAACTTTAATTAGATATACGTATACTTAGGTTTCATTGTATAAAAATTAAAAATACTACCATTTTTAATTGATTAATTAAATGATAAAGATAGTATCACTTGGGTTTTAATTTTTATTTTGATAGTAGAATTTAACTTGGTGCCACAGTACAGTAATCTCGCAATTAATTAATCATATTGAAACCCATGAAATATTCGCATGTTTGAATATAAAAAGATGATGATAATTCTTCGGATTATAGAAAGTAGTCTCCTCCGGAAATTTATTTAAGTTGCCTTGCTTCATGAACATATCTTTTAATTGGAACTTCCTCATGACATAAAAACAATTTGATATGAAATAGATTACATGTGATTACAGTATAATACGATTTTATGTAACTATTATATAATCAAAATTATATACAACTATGGACTAAACTTGTCAATTTTTTTAAAATTTGGACACAATGATATAAATTATTTAGTTTAAAATTATGTTCACATTATGATAAATACTTAAGAGTCAACATTGTCAACAATATTAAAATTACATAAATAAAAGAAGAAACAATATCTGAAGTTTAGACATGTTTGATCCTCACAATTTAAAATAATTATAGAGAAAGTTCAAATGTAAAAAAATTATAATTCAAAAAGCCTTGCAACTAACAAATTCTGAGATGTACTGTTGAAAATAAAACGTTTGTGTAAAATTACATCATTTTTGACTGATTTTCTAAACCTACTTCGTCAGAAAGGTATTTGAATTTCTATTCAAGTCATCCTAAATGTCATAAAAAAGGAATAGTATATTTGACATGATAGATAGAATTTTATTACCCTCCATCAGAAGAATTTCTATCATAAGAATTTTGAAATTACAATGCGTGCTCTTTTGAATAATGGCTATTATTTTGGCCATTGGCATTTATTTTCGCTATTAGACATTATTTATGCTATTAGACAAAGATTAAAATTATATAGTTATTCTCAATCGAAAACAAGTCTCTTTAAAAATAACAATAAATTTTTTAAAACAATAAATTTCTTATTTGAAATAAGGGAGGATTATATACACTCGCGAATGTTCGAACGTTTCGGCTCGCGATTATTAACATCTCAGATTGATTGTGTTTTAATGTTTTATTAATTATGTCCGAATATTTTGGCGCACAGTCACATTTGAGATTAATTAAATTCATGAACCAAGAATATTATATTACTCGAAACATCCAATTTTGACCGATCCTAAGGCGCTCTCTGCTATATTATGTTAATAAATTTTTTACTATTCCGTACGTCAAATCGATTTCGGAAAGTTTTATACCGATTGCGATGAATACAAAAAATCTTAAAACAGCTTACTAATACTTTACCAAATTATATTTTTAAAAAATTTATACATAGAAGAAAAGATTGAATAAATTTTAATTCAATACAACTTTTTGGCAAAAAGGATTTGACTTCGAAAAGCTGACGCATGATTTTTCATCAAAACTGCTTGCATGCAAGTCCAATACAATGATTGGCGTTAAGTTTGAAGATCAAGCTTGACATCCTATACGAGGGCTTCCATTTTAAAACGTTTACGCTCAAAACTCACGAGAGTGTAATATTGAGAGCTGTCTGAGAGATTGATAACAGACTCGATTTCCAACTGCATTCAGATGAAAAAAGCCATTTCATAAATTTAATACCTTCCATGAAACCAACAGTTTCGTATTTTTATATGCGATGTGCATCGAAGGAATATTTGATTGACCGCAAATCGTTGCGTCACTCCGTGTAGGTGTATGGTACTTAATTCGCAAGATTTCAGGATAATCGGGATAATCTATACGCATTCATTCAAACATATCTCTTTTTTCTAAGCTTTATCATTGAATTCACATCCTCAACAATTAATCTTCTACGTATGCATTAACTATAACTTAAGGAGGTATAATTGATATTTAAAAATAATAAAGAAATTATGAAAAAGTTTATTATTTATTCTAGATCGATGTACTTTAAAAGTACAAAAAATTCAGCGACAGTTTACCATCTGAATGAAAAGTTATATATTATATTGCATGATTTGTACACACACAAGTAAATTTTTTAGAATGTTGCTCGTGATAAGAAATCTCTCACGAAGAAATTTTCAAGACAATAACATTAAAAAACGCTGTTCAACTGAAAACACAATAGTGCTTTGTAAGAGAGAACATCATTTCGCGGAAAACGTAACGTTTTACGAACGGATAGTTATAACCGATGATCGATGAGGGTAACGGACGCGCGCCTTATTTTCTTCCTCCTTCACTCTTTCTCCTTTCTCCCGTTTTGTTTCCTACTTCTTTGCCGCAACACTATTGCGGAAGTTGCCTTTGCCCAACAAACTCAACCAGGAAACTTTTGTCTCGCAGGCAACCGGGGCTTTACCGATATTGGTTTCTTGAACGTTATTTACCCTTTCCTCTGATCCCGGTCCCTCGCGCACCCCTTAAAACCTGCATCAAGCGGTACCGCTGGTTCATAATAAGGATTCGACGCACAGCGAGGCGTCGACTGATTCTACTAGATTCCAATGGCCGCTAAGCCCTATTGCTTCTGACTCGCTTATGTACATTTGTTCTATCATTTCCGCATATCTACTAATTTTCAGAAATATATAATAGTGTATAATTCAAAGCAATAGTAATTCTTATCAGAAAAAAATCAATTATTATAGATGTCCCAAAACTGACGATAAATATTTTAAAGACAGATTCATTGCGATATTTTAAGATGAAAAATCTAATACGAAAAGGCTATGATAATTTCCAAATCAGAAAAGTTTAAAAATTACGAATGATACAGAATTTCACGCGCTCTCGAAAATGACAAGGTAATCTGTAGTGTGAAGATATTGAATTTTGATATTATCAAAAACATGAAATTCGAAAAAGCACCTTCATCTTGGTCATCTTGCCATCCCTAAGCACGTAAAATTCTACCTATATAAAATATTTTCAAAATCTTCCTATTTAAAAACTATTATAGCCTCGTAATTAAATAATAAAATGTATCTTAATAATGTTTTGAAATGTTTGAAAGTAATAACGTATTATAAAAAATGCTGACTATTGTGATTGACATATTAGCGTTATGATATAACGACAAACTATTAAACAAATAATTTCATAAAAAATCATAAAAATTCGCCACCTAATAGCGGAGATATTAAGAGAGACCATTATATATCTATACTGCGATTATAATACTATCTTCTCCTCTATTATCATTATTATTATTGCATTATATGCAATATTATATTATAATAATGTCATATTGCTACTATTATTATAGCTGAGTTATTACAATGGAATCATCAATTTAAATACGGCATTTACCCCTTGACTCGAATTCTATGCCTCTGACTGTAAATGACGTATATACAAGACTTCCTTATAATTACTGTACAATATATTAATGGTATAATCTGAAGATTAATTGACTCTTCGAATTTTCATTTTCTTTCAGTTACTTGAATTTTGTCTGGAACAATTTGACATTAAGTTTAATTTACTTTATATTAATTACGATATTCTTGTTCTCTGTTAGTTTTATTTTAATTAAGTTGCGATCTCCTAATCACTTATCTCAGTTTTAATAGTGGAGTGATTGCACCCGACTAGTTCATTTTATCATAATCAAACTCTGATCAAATTTGCTTGTTTTATTTTGGTTTAATTAAGCTGTGTTGAAATAAACGTATGTTTCATTTTATCAATATACATTGAAATAATTAATTCAATTTATTTTAATTTGATGGTAATTTATTATATTTATTTTAATATTATAATTTCATTATTAATTAGCTATTTACTATTTGACTTTATCATGTATTTTGCGCTTAATTCATATTATCTATTTTATTTCATTTTATTCCATTTAACACTGTCCACTGATTTATTTTTACATTACCTCAATAAATTTATTTTAATGTGTAGATATTATATATTATTGTAACATTTTAATATATATTAAAAGATACTATCCCAGTGCAGAACATTCCAAGGACGTCCATTTTAAATCCAATTCACGTCCGTACCTCCATAGACATAAAATGGACATTCATGGAATGTTCGTTGTTGAAATTGAAATTGGATTCTATTTGGAACATACTATGGATGTCTAATTTATGTCTGCATTTTGACCTTTGTTTTTATATTTTTCTTTTATTATTTTTATTATTATTTACAATTTATTATATTAAATCTATTATTTTCAATATTTCTAATTTATTAAAAT